TAGCTTGCTTCAGCCCTTCCCAAGTTAAAAAACAGGACTGTTTTTCAAATGCATGTTTTCTTCCCTTCCTAAAGAGAGGTGAAGCTTTGTTAGTCTTTGCAAGGGATCTTGTGATCCTTTTATGAAAGCTGTGTCCCATGGATCATTGACTCCATAGGAAATCAAACCAAAAGGCATCTCAAGAAATCAGAATTTGTGTTTTCTCTTTTATAAGAGATCAGTTTTTATGGGACCTTTTTTGCAAATTTGTTCAGAAAGGCACAACAGGTACTGAATTATCCAATGATATTTTACATTTTCCTCAACAAATTACTTTCACTGTTGATTGCAAAATATCTGTGCACTATTTCTGATGGCAAAGAAGCCTACTTATAGGCTGGACTGCTTGCTCCCCCAGAAGACTGTTGGACACCCATAGGAAAGCTGTATATTTTTTAGCTTGTATGGTGGCTTGCAAAACTCACATGTGCTTCAGATAATGCAGGGGGAGCCCAGTACATTCTGTGTGGTACCAAGGGTATGGGGGAGCTTCTCAGGGTCTCTTCCCAGCCAGTCTTGGCTGCAGCACCGCAGTTGCAAGTGGCAACTTCTTTAAGTCCTTTCCCAAGAGCTTTCTGAATTGTTTTTTGTTAAAGAAAACTGCAAATGAAACCCACTTCAGTGCTGTGGGGTCTGATTTCTTTTCTTCTAATTTTTTTCCTCTTTTCAGCAAACGTGTGTAAGCTGAAGTATTTGCAATAGAAAAAGCTTGCTAGACCCTTCCTAATTCTCAGTTTTGAGCTCAAAAAGGTGCTGCTATGAGTGATGTCAAAACAGCTCTTTTGCTCGCTTGCAAACCCATACTGGCAGTCTTGTTTCTCTTGAAGCACAGACTTATCTGTAGAGATAATCAAAAGCCTGCATCATCCTCAAATAAGGGCTGTTTCTGATGCCTCCCTCCCTGATCCTGGGATTTTCAGCAAACGGACATCCCCTTTAAACCTGCATTTCTGCCTCCTATCTTTTCTCTTTGAAGCCAGAGGGTTGGCTGGCCTTTGAATAGACAAGGATGAGAACACAGCAGTGGGAGGTCCATGTCTCGCTCATAAACCTTGGCCAGAAAATCGGCTCTGACAAGTGGGGACAGGTAGCAGCATCTTCCCCCTTATCAAATGGCGCAGCAGAGCAGACACATTCCTGCAGGAGCCCCGGTGGGGTGGAAGGTGGGGCCTCCTGAGAGCGCCTTGTGCTCTGCCCTGCTGCTTCACCAACTTGGTGTACAACTGTGTTGTTTCTGTGCAAAACACGCTGTTCTCTCATTGTCCCTGCCCCTTGGGTGCTGCTTTTGATGTGTTCTTTGGCTTTCTCTTCCTTCAGCAGGAACCAGAGAAGATGTTTATCTGTGGTGCCAGTGCTTGGGGACTTTTGGAGGTGCCGTGTCATGTTTTTGCGCCTCAGAGTATTGTTTTGCACGGCTTGGTATGGCCCAGCCTTTTCCTGGGGAAAAGCTTTCCCCAGGCCTCCTGCTAAAATCTCCCTCCCTCTTGTGTAAAGCAGTCATCATTAGCTCTAATTGGGCAGCTTTGGGGTTAAATCTACAAAGATTGCTTGGGTTTGGTAAATCCTCTGCCACTGCAAAGCAGATAATGCTAAACAAAAGATTGCCTTGATTAGATTAAAGTTGGCAAATTCATTGCCCTAATCATCATATTGCCCTTCCCGTGGCTATTCAGGAATACATCACCGTAACTTACTTGAAGTAATTGAATATAATTGTGTTTTTAACTCGTATGTGTAAAACATCCATCTTTGTTAACAGCATGTGTTGCTGTCCTGCTGCCAGCTCGCAGTCCTCTTCTGGAGGGGTGGGAACAAGAAGCAGAGCCAGGCTGACGTTTATGAATTGGTAGTTGATTGCCTATAAAACCATTCATTATTTCTGACCAAGCACCTGGAAGAGAATAAAAATGAACAGCACCAGCCACTGGGGCTTGGCTGTTGCTTCCAGGCAGGGAAGCAGAGGGAAAGTCATGAAGGGGAATGTTGCAAAGGGGTGTCAAAACCACCAACCCTTGCCCTTGCCCTTAATGGCAGCAAAGCTCAGGGCACATGGTGGCATTAGAATTGGGGGTGTGAAACAGATACCAAAGGCAGAGGCATTGCTGAGCTTCCTGTGGGCCAAATAGGTTGAAATGCTAAAAACAAATCAAGAGTGAAGTGGGAAGGAGGAAGTTCATGGAAATTTTTCTCCCATTAATAATCAGAGGTGTGAGGAGGGAGAAATTCTCTTCAGATGCCAATTTTATACCAACAGATAGCTAGGAAAGGAGGCCAGGCAGCAAACAGCCTGTTTTCTATTTTCCAGCTCTCCTGAGTGACAAGGAGAGACTCTTTTAGCACAGAAATTTCCAGTATTATCTCAGCAATCAATCATGTAGCAATGCATAGGTACAAAATAAAACATAGCTGGCTTTTAAGATATTCAGTTTGACCTGTTTTTAGTAGTTTTATCATTATTAATAAATTAAATTGCCCTAGGGGACAGGCCAAAGGATTAGGGTGACTCCACATCATTAAAACTCAGCTGCGATGGCAAATACTCACTTTCCTGCACTCTGGGGAATTGCTCAGCCCCAGACCTGTCCATTAGAGGCAGAGTGACCACCCTATTTTGGGAGGTTGCTAATCCTCACCTATTGGGATGCCACCAGCAGCACTTTGGGTTGGTTCCAGGATGACAGAAGTTTCCTTGCTCCTTTTGGTTTATTTGTACAGTAAATATGGGGTGAGCACTGCGGAAACCCCAGCCTAGGGGCTCAGGCTGGAAGAGGTGTTTGTGTTGTTTGCCATTGGATGCCTGTGCAGGGACAGTTGATTTTGTGACCATGCATTGTATATGATGATGTAAGAGCTTGACTCCCTCTGGTCCCCACAGCAGCTGTAGGTTGTGGTGGCAGCTGTGGCCAGGGAACAGCAGTGACCCCAGGGAGGAGGACAGCAGCTGTAGGTGTCTGCCAGCCTAGGCTGGAGTCTGAGCTGAGCATGGTTTGGGGAGACCAGACGCTTTACTGTGCCATGTGAGCAGGGGATGGGGTGTGACAGCTAAACTCTGGTGTATTTTTGATCTGGAAAAACACTGTTTGCCTCTTAAAATGAAGACTCCTTAGAAGTGTCCTTACGTAACAGATTGTCCCTACCCAGGACAGTTAAAGGGTGAATCTTCCTCCTGCAAAAGCAAATACTGAAGGATCCAAGTTCATTCTCTCCCTGAGCTGCTTTTGGGAGAGGAGGGGAGGGGGGCAGAAGCGGGGGAGGTGGTTAACAGTTACTCTACTGTGTCCTGACATTAGGCGAGCTGCAAAAATGCTCCCAGTGTATCAGGTAGTGTGAGGTGCCAGCCCTTTGCTGGAGCACGGAGAGCAAGTCTGCTGCAGAGCCTTAAATACTTTCCACCCCGACTACCTTAGCTTAACGCCTTTCAGCAGAGTTGGCAGGAGGGTTGTTTTTGTGTAGTCTCTCACCTCTCCCAGCAGCCTGGCTGACGCGCCTGTGCCGCGCTGCGCTCAGGGATTGAGCGTTGCGATGGGAGTAGGAGCCGCAGATCCTCTTGCTGATATGCCGGGAAAGACGTATATGAGGATTTCACGCAGGCTTTGCGCCACGGACCCAAGCGGAGCGCAGCCCCACCGGACAGAGTCGGCGTAGCTCTGCTGCAGCTGGAGTCACAGATGCAAAAGGCTGAATTTTCAGTCTTTTGTAGAAAAAGAGTTTGGCATTTCTGAAGTTTGCTGAGCAACAGCGGGAGACTTGGCCCAAGCCTTGACACTTTGGTTTTGGATGGTGCTTCCCCAGTCTCCAGAGAGATGGTACCTGTCACGGAGGCAAGTTACAGTGAAATACCGAGCACAAGCTGGGTTTTGAATTGCTCACTTAGGAGGTTGGGTCTGGTTTATTTTTGGTCTCCAGGTAGACAGAAAGGCCAAGAAGTCAGAGAAAGAATGGTAAAACGTGCAACAATATTAAGTAATCTGTAATGAAGAGCTTCTGACTGTTTTTAGAGGCAGAGCAAGACCAGCCTTTTATCTTTAAGCTGGTTGCTGCCACAGATGTAGAAAGGGGCATCTTTACAGATGCGCGGAGCCCTGTCAGGGGTGATCGTACGGGATCGCTATAGCGGCTGTGTGGTATCGCTATCGAGGCTCTGCTAATTCTATTTCTTTAGCTTCTGTAATTTTAGCAGGAAAGGCCCAGGCGGCCAGGCAGCATTGTTGGGGGTGGTGAGAAGAAATAACCTGATGAATTTTCCATCAGCTCAACTCACTCAAATATTCTTGCCGTTAACTTTTGGGGTCAATAATAAATATTAAAACCTGTAGATTTAATAAGTCAATGTAGGTGTTCACTGCCTTTTGAGACCACTTTATCTTTCCATCAAAGATGAAACAAGCTTCTCAAATGAATAAAAAATAGGGCCTCAAGTGATTACAAGTGAGAGCAATTTGAGCTCCTCTCTCAGAACCTGGCAGTAGGCACTTCTGAGCGTCTTCTGACTGCCTAGACACTCTGCTTTAGCACTGCTCTTGCTGTTATATTTTTAGGTAAATATTTCCAACTTGTGTGTACAGACCTTCAGCAACAGTGTTTGCTGCCACTCCAGGCTTGAGGGACGATGCGGGTTTGGATCCCACCAGGCTCTGTTGAGTCTGATTTGCGTTGCAAGTCTAGTTTTCCTTGGTGCTTGCTATAATCTCCTCAAGTTCAAAGAGCGCTTAGCTGCTTGTCTTTGTCAAAAACCCTGTTGGAGATCTTTTATGTCGAAGATGTAGGATTTTTCCGCATGACTTTGATTATTTATTCATTCCACTTCTCTGGTGTATGATAGCGCTGATATCATGAAGACCCCTTGTCTTGCACTGCTCTTGCTCTGAAATTCATGGAGATTTAGTGCCTTTGAAATTGTTTTAAAAGGGAAGGAAAAGTTTTTGAAGTCCCTTTTTTTTTTCTTCTATTCCCCATAACAGTGCCGCAGCACATTTTTCCGGCCTTCCACGCTCCTTTGCCAATTGACATGCGCCACCAGGAAGGACGATACCATTACGAACCTCACTCTATCCACGCTATCCACGGGTAAGTCTTACACCCTCACTCCCGTGCCTTGCTAAAATTTCAGCCACCTGCAATATTCCGAACCCCACTGCTAAAAATCCCTGGGACTCAACTGGCAAGCTGGCCCTACTGGCCACCCTCCACCTCATTGTCCCTATCCAGTGACAATACTAACCTGCCTGGCAGGAGGGTTTTACAGCTCTGTTAAGCCAGTAGAAGTGCCCTACAGCAGCAGGATGGGGGTATAGGGCTTCTTTGTCATTATCCAGCTCAGGTCCCGGGTACAGGCTTGACTTGTGTTTTTGCACCCACCATATTTCTCACATCTTGCCTTGCCTGGGTCATTTCTGTCACCATCTTGGCAAAGACCCAGCACTGCTTCCTCTCTCTGGAGACCTTGTGTACCATTCCTCCCTGCCTGCCAGTTTTGGGGATGGTGGCAAAAGGCTGCCAGGAATGCCGTAATTCAGTTTGATTTCACTGGACAACAGCCCGAATGAGCTGGTAGCATTTTCTAAAAGCAGTAATAAGTCATGGGGGTGTCCATGTCCACCCTGGAGGGGTAATGGTGACCTCTGGGTTTTGGTGGTGACCTTCTCATGAAAACCTCCTCTCCCTGAGGCAGCTGATGGGCAGTGAGCACAGAGACTGTTCAGGGGCTACACCCTACGAGGAGGGCTCATGGTTAATCTCCTCATCCAGGATATGACAGCTTGGTAATTCTTGATTACAGAGAGATCTGTTTTCACCTCCTGTAAGGTTTGATCAGGACAAGGAAAATGGAGCCATCAGGAATGTGAGCAGAGGTTCTAGTGATGGTGAGGCTGGAAGTGTTTCTTCCAGTCCCTGACATGCACCTTTCCCATGAGAGGTGAGGAGCAGTGCAATGGGGTTGGTGGTCCCACGGCTATCCCAAAATCTTTCAACCTGCAGCTGTAGCACTGGGCTCAGACACCAGTTCAGGGACAGGTCCCAGAGCACCCAGTGTAGGGGAACCACTGAGGGCCAGAATCATTTTGCAAGAACAAGGAAAGAGCAGCTAGGGCTCGTCACTTTAAAAACTCCCATTTGATCCCCTGGAGTCCTATTGCAGCCTCACTGTCTGGCCAGAGGCTGTGCTCACCCAGATTTGCAGGGGCTGTTTGTGGAGCTGTGCTGCTTCTGGATAGGTGTGAGCAGGAGAACATACCCTGGGAAGCAAGTAATGCAGACAGCAGCAGCCAGATCTGTGGAGCCCCACAGCTACCACAGCTTTATTATTCTTCCAAAATACTGCAGAGAAATAAATGATAGGGCATTCCCCTGGATCCTACCAGAAGACAAGTCATTGTCTTTTAGGCTGACAGTCAATTTGACTGGATTTTTAAAGGGGCAGAGCAGCTTCTTCCATGCTGTGTGCAAAGGGGAAATGACAAAGCAGGTTGCTAACATGGGAACTGGGGGGGTTAGGGAGGCTGCATGAAATAGTTCTGGCCTTTCATACAAAAATTGTAAAAAAAAAAAGAATAATAACTTGCTGGGAGATTGTTAATAAGCTGGAGCTCTGGTTAATAAAGCATGTAGGGAAGAGGGATATTCAAAACAGAGGGAGATATTCTAACAGTGGTTAGAAGAGAAGCTGGAGGATGTTCTGATGTTTGTCAGAGGTTATTTGTGTGCCCTGCTTGGTGCTCCCCTTCAATCTTCATGAGGAGGTTTGGGGGCACTGCATATGCTGTCGGGCTCCATAGCATTTCTGTGGTGGGCTCATGAGGCAAGGTCTTCTACAAAATGCAACTGAGAGCTTGCCATTGATTCATACCTATGAATCATATGCCCAGTAATCCCGGTATTTTTTCATGCTGGCATTGTCCAGCTGATCAACCTTGGCCCCGTGTACAGCCCTGGCAGATCAGGTTTCAGTTCACCTGCTCCAATATTAATAATCTTGTTAGCAGTTACCACATTTGTCTATCAGTGGACCAAAGATGTCCTGTTTAGTATTTGGGTAGAGTTATTGGCAAATATCTGTTGCATTTCTTCTTTGGGATTCGTCTCTTTCCCAGCAGCTCCACTCACAAATCTAACTTGTGGTGTACGGGACAGAAAACTTGGTTGCAGGTCTTAAAGAGAAAACATACTCCTCTTTGAAGCTACCTGGGCACTGCACTGAAAAGTGCCTTTGTGGCCAGAGAGGCTCCAAAGCTAAGCAGCCAAGTGCTTCTTGGCTGTGACAATTTTCTAGGGTCAAGGGAATGCTACTTGCATTTGGCTGGTTGTCAAGAAGTACCCTGTGCTATGGCACAACCACATTGGGAGAATTCTCTGCAGCTGTGGTCTCAGTCATTTTTCTTCTTCAGATTTTATCTGCCAACATCTTAAAATCATGTCTTGCCCTTTAATCTTCTTGGTTTTTATTCTACATTTCTTGTCTTTCTTCTCTCTCCTCCAGTCTCTGCTCTGGAGGTCACAACGTAGCACTCACCCTCCTCACTGGAGGATGTCCAGAGTGAATTCATCCAGACATGGTTGTAGACCTGGGCTAGAACATACTTGATGATTGCGTGGCTCTTATCCAATACACTGGACAATTTAAGCCACCAGCCCATTTGGGCTGTTGTCCAGTGAAATCAAACTGAATTAGAGCATTCCCGGCAGTCTTGTTCAATACTCTGTGGGCACAGATGAGCTTCTAGAAGTTTGTACTCTGTCCTGGTGGGGCAGAAATCAATCCTTCTTGTTTCAAGAGTAAACAACCCGTAAAAAAAACCCAAGGGCATATGCATATTCTCACTCTAGAAAATTATGGCAAATGTTTGGAAGAAAAATTGCGTCACTGAGTTTTGGCTTTATGATTAATGTGATGGGTGCCTGACAGAGAGCCCCCAATTCATCAAGTCTATATTCTACCTGTCTGCTGTCTTGACAGTACCAAATTTATCTAATTATGGGAACGTTGCACGGCAAATTAAGTGCAGTCTCATTTGTTGCTAACTATGGGGTCTTATTATCTGCCTGCTGTATTATGTCAAAGGTTTGTTTCCTGATTGTTTGATGTGACCTGGCAGCGCATTCCCCTTCATCACTGTTTGCATTTGGCCTAATGAGAATGTACGTTATTTTATCTCAGCTGGAGAGAACTCATCTGCAAGGCTCTCTTGAGCAGAACCACCTGTGGGACCCTTTGCTTTGGAACACAGATGGGAATGTGAAGAACCTGAGTTAAAAATGCCCCCTGTGCCAGGATGGGCCTGAAAGACTTGCTGTGTTTCTCCTCAGTGTTGTCATTCCTTGTGTCTCAGTGATTTTCTTGTTAAGCAGCATGACAAATAATTTTCAGGACTTGAATCTTCTTCTAAACCACTGAGGATTTACTATATGTCCAGAAGCAGATTATGCTGGGGTTTTCTTGAATTCTACTTTAGAGATTGTTTTGGTGTTTCTTTAGTCATTAGGACAACCCACTTTTCTGTACAACCACTGTTGGTTTTACTTGTTTGGTGGTGATTTTTTTGGACATCTTTAATATTTGGACTTCTTTTCTTGGTGTTAACAACAACTTGACAGAATTGTGGTGCTTGCTTGGCTTGTCTAGAAAACAGAAGTATCTCATTCAGATGATTGTCCTGGATTGCAATGATTATGTGCCTGTAGTAATACGGAGTATAGAGGGCAAGGCAGAATTGGAGTCCAGTGGACACTGTAAAGGATGCAATGCAGAATGGAGTGAAACTGAATATTGGATAAAATCTACTTCAGGAATGTAGAACTAGAACAGAATGAATAAAATAAATAGTATTGGTGCATAAAAATGGTATGAGCCAACATTTCCACAATATAACATTAACTTAACAATGAGTAATACTACAATACTCAAAGGCTAAGAAAAGACCAAAAAAACAAAAAAATTGGTGGTTCTGCATTATTCTGGAGGTATAGGATCAAGTTTCAGAGCTATGTACTCTTTTTCCCTGTGATCCTCTCTTCCAGAGCACAGGATGGCCCAGGCTCTGTGGAAGAGCAGTGGTGGGTCTTACATGCATTTTCTGCATGCAGCTTTTATTGATTTCTCAGAATTTCACTCTTTGCTGCTGGTTGTAGGTCAGCACTATTTCAGCGAAAATCATCATCCAGGTGCGTTCAGGTTCAAAGCTGAACCAGAAAAATTCACTTCCTAAGTTAGTACAGGTCCTTTTCTAACAAAAGGGGTATTTTGTATTTTAGTGAACTTCTTCACAAAAACCTAATCCACTGGGGCCTGGTCTCTGCTTTGAGCTAAGAGGGCAGCATCAGCTTTGCAAGACCAAGCCCTTGGCTCCAGAGGAAAGTTGCTGGCAGATATGGGAGGTGATTACGCGCTTACCTGTTTTTTATTGTTATTATTTTTTAAATCACAACAAAAATAACTAAAAACTCCTTAGCTCAGCTTAAAAGTTCCTGCCAATGCAAGAGCCTTCAGGGCTAACCCTAGTAAACACCATGCCTAGGCTTGACCCAGCAAGAAGCTTTTTAACAGTAGCTCCTAAACTGTGGTTAAAACCCATCAGGCATTATGCACTGTACAAAAACAAAAGCAGCCTTGTTTTTCTACCAACATCCTGGTGGTGTTCTAGGATGCAGTTCTGACATTATTTATTAACAAAATATTGTTGTCACTCTTCTGTCCACACATAAAAATAGTAAAAAATACCCCCAAACCCTGAGCTTATAATCACAAATTCCACAGTTTTCATTAGGACTGCATTGTCCCAAAGACTTAAACATAGACATGTCTCCATCTCCATGATAATGTGGAGTTGCCCTTATTTTCCCTCTGGTAGGGATTTTATCTCATTTAATCAAGGATATTCCTCCATTTCCCTGAAATCTTAATATATTATTACAGATTTTTCCCGATATCCAGCCTACACTTTTTTTCTTTATCTGATTTTGTTACCCCTCCCTGTTGAAGTTTGCTTCCTTTTTACTGTGTTAAAAATTACAGAATACTTTTTCAGGACCAGTTAAAATGTTCCTAAGCTGTTTAGGCAGGGTGATTCACA